GGAGGAGGAGGGCATAATGGAAACTCTGGGCACTTGATACTGAAGTCCGAGCTTAGAGCTCCTGTCTTGACTCTTGGCAGAATGATCCTTTCAAGTCCTCAACCTCTTGTGCCGTGGGATTTCCTCATCTGTAAAATGAGGAGCATGATGTCTCCAAGAGTTGGTATAAGATTCAGGGAGATTCTGGTTGTGAATGTGCTTCTCAAGCAGCAAAATGCTGCATTTGCTGCGTTCAGTAGGGACAAGATGTTGCTGTTGTCATTCTCTTTAAACCACCGGGGAGTCGTACCCACCAAGAGAGATGCTCCCAACAGCCTGGCTGTGCCTGCCTCCCTGGGGATCCAAAATAGGAATGGAGGCCCCAGTGTCAGGGTGGGAAAGGGACGGAGGTGAGGAGGGGTGACCTCAGCTGCATTACCCTCTCTGTGTGGACATCCGTGGGGTAGCAAGTGGCCTGCCCTGCGTGGGGTGGGGGAAACTCTGTTCCATCTGGGAGTACATGGAACTGAGAGCTCTGATTGTGCGTATTCTCTGAATCTTCAGGCCTCTTCCCAATGCCTAGCACGCAGTTTATGCTTAAGGAACACATGCTGTATGAGTGAACGTATATTATGAAGGAGGAAATTGAGATCACAGGAAATGCCTGGAGCTATGGTGGGCTTGGCCAGACGGGTGTGCAGGACATGTCGTGATGGGAGACTGCTGATATGCTAGGCACGTGCCACCTGTCTCTTGCCCTCTCCCTCAAGCGTTCCATTCACCTGCTACCCTAGGAGAGTTTCTGGTTGCATGTGGATTATGCCGGGAAACTGGCAGCTGCTTCGGGAGGGAGTGGTAGGGGAGGGGTGTTGCGGTTTTGAGCCCTTTTTACCAATTTCTCTGCTGCAATTGTGATTGTCAGAGTTGTAGGCTGGGAGGTGAAGGGAAGCACGTACTGGGGGGATTGCCACATTGGTTCTGCTCAGTCTCTCTCTCTCTCTCTCCCCTCCCTGGGGCTTCTAGGCAGGCTCAGGCCTATCCCTTTCTCACCCCACCTTGGTAACAACTCTGCTAGAATTTGGGATCTTTTCCAGTTGGACTTGGCTAACTTTGTTATCAGTGTCAGATAAATCAGCTGGTTGTGGGAATTCAGTCTTTCATCATTTATTTGTTGTTTGCTCACAAATATTTATCCTGTGCCTGCTGTGTGCCAGGCCCTGTGCTAGGTTTAGGGCCAACAGGTGGACAAGACCCAGTCCTTGAGGAGCTCATCATCTGGCGGCAACAGATTTAGACAGAACTGTAGCAGATAAATGCAGTTTAGGTTGTGGGGTGGGGTTCACTGTCTTGGGGAACCGTTGCGTGGGAATTTGAGGGGTTTTACTGAGTAGATGTTTTCATCCGATCATTAGGGAAGGCTGGGGGAACTGCTGGGAAATCTGAAATGCAGATTCTCAGGCCTGAGAGCATGTGTCTCCTGCCTTCCCAGGCTGGAAGGTTTGTCCAGGGTTCCTGAGTCCTGTTTTTGTCTCTTTCCCCATCTCCCCCCTTACTACATCCCTACCCCTGCCCCTGCCCTGGGAATCAGCTCTTCAGATGCTCTCAGGCTGTGTCAAAGAACCAGGCCAGGGAGTGCAGGGTGGTTGCTGCCCATGACTGCTCGCCTTCGCAGCCATACACCAGGAAGGCTGGAGGGAGAGAGGCCAGGGGCATGGAGGAGACCTGAGTTCTAGACATTACCCCCTGTCAGGAGCCAGGCCTGGGCTCTCTCCAAAGGCTGCAGGGGAAGGGCTCTGGGAGGTGGAAGGGGGTCTGGGGGATGTACTTCCACATTCACATCTGCTGTTCACTCTGTCCAGAACAGGCCCTTCTCCCCACCCTCTGGGCTGCTGCAGCCCAGGCTCCCCTGATCCCTGACAAGGCCATGTCCCTGCCCGAGCTCTCACAGCTCCTGGTGTGTTTCATCACACCACGTGTGTCAGTAGTTAACCGTGAGTTTGTGTGACTGTCCCTTCCTGCCCTCCACCCCTCTGGACACTGAACTCCATGAGGGAAGGACTCGCGTCTGCTTTCTCTTCCTTGTGAGGCTAGAGCCAGCACAGAGGACGCCCGTGGCCCACGCTGTGGGATGAATGAATGGATGGAGCTGGATGCTTGCTGCTCTGTCTGGCAGGGAAGGGTGGCCTGTACCAACTTCTGGACTTGGTTCCACCTGGAGTGTGAGACTCCGGCAACCACTGGAGCACCTTTCCTCGGGCACTGTCCGGGCCCACTGAGCTCTGTGGCTTGGCGGGGACCCTGAACCCAAGCTGGATGTCGGGGCCTGTGTGACTGCCCTGGGAGATCCAGCCCTCAGCTGTGTTCCTCTCTGCCACTGGTGCTCGCCGCTCCAGCCACAGTGCCTCCCAGTCCCCCACACTGTCACTCTTACTGTTCACATGCTGTTCCCTCTGCCTGGGATACCCTCTTCCTGCCATCTCTGCCCAGAGAGAGCCTGCTCATCCTTCAAGGTCCAGTGCAAAGTCCTCTTTCTTCTGGGATAGCTTCCTGACTGCCCTTGAGAGAATTCCCTGCCTTCTCTGCTCTAGGGATATCTTGCAGTCCTCCCTGGCATTAGACTTGCCACATTCTCTCACCATCCTTTGCTGAAGGAGCTATCCTCCTTCTGGATTTTGGGGAGCTGCAGGGCAGAAAGTAGGCATTGTACCCCTTTGCCCCTCTTCCTGCCTGGTGGCTGGCCAGTTAGAGGGGCTGACTCAATGGTTAGGTGGATGGAGCTACTTTGGGGGTCACAGCATCGAGCCCCTTGCCCAGATAGTGAGGGGATAAGGAGAGCAGGCAGGGACCTAGCCCTTCCTTGCCTATCTTGCCTTCTAGGGTCTTTCCAAAGCCCAGTGGGCTGCTGACTCAGCCTGTCTGAGGTGGGCCTGTCCATGCTCCCAGACCCCCCCACTGCCACAGGTGGGCCTGCTTGACCTGCCATGTTCCTGAGCCCAGCCAAGCCTAGCAACCCCCTTGGGCTGAACCAGCTGGCAAGGAAAGGGGGAGAGGGTAAGGAGGACCTTCTTCCTTGGGAGCATCTGGGCCAGAACTGACCTCAGGTGTTTAACACTCTGCTCTGGTGGCTTCTGGTATGTTTGGGGCCTCATGCGCAGTAAGGAGTCAAAACCAGGATAGGGAGGCTTCCCTCCGGGGCTCAGCTGCAGCCGAGATCACAAGGGACGCATTCTCCTTGGGGACAGAGCTTGGGCTCAGACTTCTGCCCAGGGCCTTCCTCAGCTCCTGCTTTCTGTGGGCCCACCCAGTCATGCCCAGTTCTCAAGAGAGAGCCACTGCTATGAGGTAGCAACCGTGCAGGACTGGAGTCTGTCCAGGGAGGGGCTGGCAGGGGTGAGAGGAGGCAGGGAGGGGTAGGGGAAGGGAGGGCCGGGCCTGGGCATGAGTTGTTTCACTGCTCCCCAGGGCTGGGAGCTATGCTTGTCCCAGCCTCATTAGAGGGAGTGACTGGGTTATTAGGCACAGGTGGCTTAATGGCTAGCTCAGGGGCCAGAAGCTCCCTGGTCCTACCCAGGATCCGGGCCGTGCCGCTGCCTTGCCTCGGGGGCCTCAGGCCTGGCCCCCTGCACAGTGTGCCCACCTGCCCTGCCTCCTTCCCTGGCTGGTAAAGCTCTGTGTTGGCCTTGCCACCCACAGGTCCTTTCCTGGAGTGGATTCCTCTCGAGTCCCATATCCTTGCATTTGTATGGGGCTATTCTCACATTGTTAGCCCAGTCTTTCTGCCAACCGTGTGCGTGTACAGGGTTGGCATGGATAATGTTTCCATTTTACAGAGGAAGAAAATGAAGTCTCAGGAAGAGCAAAGTCTCTTAAGGGAGCTCATAAGGAAGCTGGCCATTTGACCTTCTGATTCTGTAGTTTGTGCTCTAGTTAACGGCCCCAGAAACTGCCTCCTGCTGCGTCACTGCCTCAGGAGACACCCAGGTCTCCTTGGTGCCACCAACAAGTGGCTCACAGCCTGGAAGGCAGGTAGGCACTGCTTCCTCTTCTTTCCTGAGAGCCCAGCAAGATGGAGCTTCCCTGCACACAGGCTCGGCTTCTAGGTGCTTCCTTGGATGGGGATGGGGGAAGCTGGCACTTTGGTCCTGGCTAAGTTACAGAGTAGCAGGCAAGCCCTTCCCCTTCCTGACCCTCAGCTACCCCAGCACTGGGGCTAGAGTTTTGCCAGCCTTTTCAGGGGAGTGTCATGGGAAGTGCTCAGGCAGGGAGTCAGGAGACCACCGCGCGTGGGAACTTAGCCCATCACCTCTGTTCCCCTTGGACAGAAAGCTTCCCTTCCTTTTCCTTCCCTCCCCTGTCATTTTTGTGTTGGTCTTTTGGCAGCTGCAGCATCTTCGCCAGCAATCAGAGAAGGAAGATTCCCCAAGTTGCACCTCAGACCCGGACCTTATTTCTTCCTGTCCCTGTCCTCAGGTGTCCTCGAAAGATATGATTGATTCTCTTTGTCCCAACTCAGTGAAGAAGCTCTAGGTGTTCAGAGGAGGAGATACAGGGCACGGCCCAGAAGGAAACCAAGTGGGTGTCCACAGACACCTTGGATTGCTTTGAGGCAGCTGTCCATTGTTTGCTTTAAGAAGAAAAGGAGTTCGTTTCCCCAAGGAGGTGGCAGAGGGCCGTCATGACAGCCCCTTGCCCTTGGCAAAATAGTGCCAGCCTCCAGACAACAGATCAGGAGACCTTGGACGAAAGAGCAGGCAGGATTTAGGAGGGTAGTCAGAGAGGGGAGGCCTGGTCTCTGGGTCCCAGCTTCCTTGGTGCTGTGGCAGGGGCTTTTGGCCAAGGGAGGAGGAGGAGGTCAGGCAGGTGGGTACTGAGATAGGTAAGGGCCGGAATGTGGGGGTGATGCGGTATGACCTCTTTTTTTTAACTGGGAAGGTGTTACAAAATTCTCGGGCTGCTGGAAGGGCCCTTTATGGGATACCTGCCCTCCCCCAGAATTCAGATCAGAGGGCCCCCACACTCACCATGCTGGCTCTGTGATCTTCCAGATTTCTCTATGGGCTGGAACTGAGGTAGGTGGCCCGTCAGGAGGTGGGCCTCCTTGGATCCGGCCCTGGCTGGCCAGCAGGTCAGAGGTCCTGGGGCAGCGCTGGCTAGAAGAGGCCTTGGTCCCACATGCCCGGCATCCGTCTTCCCTTAGCACCCTAGCCGCCTCCGCTGCTGTATTCCAGGAGTGATTTGGGGACCGCGGGGCCAGTTGATTAAAACAACCACATGGGTGAAGTTGCCAAACTGGAATGATGATGCATCTTGTAACCTGACACCTGTCCTAGGGGCTGGCACACACCTGGAGTCATTCATGGCCCTTTGGCCTCAGAACAGGGGACACGCCTTAGATGTTGCAAAAGCAGCCTTCCCGCCTGAATGACTTCCACCCAGCCCAAGACAGCAGGAGGCTCCCTTTTTCTATCTCCTCGTCGTGGGACTTATCAGTGTGTGGGTGCTTCTGACTGGGGTTGTGGAAGGTGGAGGCGTTTGGGGTGTTCCACAGAACTGGTTTGTTGCCACGTGGGAGCAACAGGAAAAGATGAGCTATGCGCACTTCCCTGGCCCCCCGGTGCATAGCTGGCAAGTGTGGGGCTCATACCCAGCGCTCCCACCAGCACCCCTTCCCAGTGTCTCTTGCCCATCCTTCTAGGTGATTACAGATTTGATATCTTGGCCCGAGGTGCCCTCCTAGCCAGGGGATGTACAAGGTGACACCTTGAAGCACAGAACCAGAGAGCTGGAAGGCACCCGAGTCACTGTCTTCTCCCAGACCTCCATGTTGTGGGCGAGGAAACGAAATTCCAGAGAGGCAAAGATCACACAGTACGTTTGTGTCAGATATGGAACCAATCCAGATCTTTAGTTCCTTGGCTTTGAAACCCTCCCGGAGACCAGCCCGGGGCAGATGTGTGTCTTGGCCCCTCTGTGCCAGGCGTCTCTTTAATTCCGATGCAACCACGTGAGCAAACGTTCTGTTCCCATTGGACAGGTGAGGAAATCTGAGCTCACGGACATGAAGTGGCTGGCTCCTAAGTCATCCTGAGGTTCTGGCAGAGCTGGGATTTGAATCTGGTTCTTCCTGTGAACAGGCTGGATGCAGCCCAAGTGTCTGAAGCCCCATGTCTGTGGTCTGGGGAAGTATGGCTCAGGGCAGACTGTAGTGGTGTCTGAGCAGAAGGGGGACAGATTTAACTGATGGTTGGCCCCATCTCAGCTACTCAGTGTGGCATGGCTTTGGATTTGTCTCTGAGCAGTAGAGCCCCAAGGCGGGTCTGGAGGCTCTCTAGAGCCAGCAGGGCAGCAGCCCTCCCACTGTCTAGGGCAGTGGGCTTTAGAGCTGGAAGTCTGGGGCTGAGTGCAGTGCTTCTGATGTCAGGACAGGTGAGTTCGGGGGACAGGCTGCAAAGACCTAGGCAGGTGTTTCCCTTTCAAGAAGGACTCCACTAGTCAGACAGTGAGAGGCCAGTGGGCCTCCCTGCACTAGCCTTTCCCCAGCCTTCGTTCTTCTCTGTGCCACAGGTTTGAATCTGCTCACTGGGCACTCAGGTGATGAGCACCCCACAACAGTGCTGCTGGGCGGGCCATGTTGGAGGGGTGATTCCTCCACCCTTCTGACTCAGCTCTGGGCCCAGCTACCAGGTGGGTCCGGGAGCCTGGGGAGTGGCAGGGGCTGCTGCGGTGCCTGGAAAGAGGCTGTGGGATCTCCAGGTGGAGGCACAGAGGGCCCACACCTCCCAGGAGCCAGGCGGGAACTACTGCTGTGCCCCCCCCATTCACCCAGAGGCAGCCTTAGCTCCCCACTCAACCTCCTCCTGTCCCTTGTCTGACCACTCTCTCTCTCTTCCACCTGTCTCTTTAGAGTCCCATCCTGGCACCTGCCACCTCTCCCTTCCTTTTGCTTTCCTCTGGTCTCTTCCTCTCTCTTCCTCTTCCTTCCTCTTCCTTTCCCTCTCATTTCCAGCACATGGGTCAAGGTCAGAGGCAGTTTTGCCGTGAAGCTAATGCAGCCTGAGCTGGGTCATCCCTCTCCGCTGCCCACCCACCCCTGGCTTCTGCCTCCCTTGCATAGCCTGTCTAAGGCGAAGAAAGGTCCCAGTGATTTGTCCACATGGGCATAGGTTATTGGAAATTGTGCAGCAGGTTTTTGGTATGCTTTTTCTGAAAAAGGGCCCCTTGAAAAGCGTCAGGCCTCATAAAACTGGGCTCTCCCTCGGTCAGGAGCATGGGCTCTGGGAGCCTGGAGTCCTGTGTCCTCATCCCAGCCACTGACTGGGTGACTGGCCGTTTTAGTCCATCCTCCTGATCTCTGTGTTCCTCCTCTGTAAAGGGCAGATGATGACAACGCTGACCTCATGAGGTTGTTACATGGTTTAAATGAGAGCGTCTCCGTCTGGCGCCTAAAAATAAAAGCTTCATGAATGGAACCGTTATCCTCATTTGTTTTGCAAAAATACATTTGTGGAGCTCCTGTGAGGGCCGGCTCTTGTGCTGGGTTCGGAAATGAGAGACACGGGCCGAGCACACACCTCTGGGAGGTGCTACGATGTATCTGTCAGTCATGCTGAGTTACAGAGGTGTCCCAGTGGAGGTGGAAAGAAGACTCTTGGGGGTTCAGAGATCCTTTTTCATCATTTACTACCCTCCACTTTATTTCCTTCCTTCCTTCCTTCCTTCCTTCCTTCATTCCCCTCCACCCCAGGACAGGACATTTTTACTTATATAAATGTCATTTTTAGGAGAGTATATTAATTGTCAGTTGTTTTGATTGCACACTTGGACTTCATATCAACAACCATCTGCTCCTCCGCCTAACAATTAATTTTCTGTGGTGTTAAAGGCACTGTGGTGGGACGCCTGGGTGGTTCAGTTGGTTAAGTGCCTGCCTTCGGCTCAGGTCCTGATCTCAGGGTCCTGGGGTCGAGCCCTGCCTGGGGCTCCCTGCTCCATGGGATATCTGCTTCTCCTTCTGCCTCAGTCTTCCCAACTGTTCATGCTCTCTCTTGCTCTCAAATAAATAAATAAATAAATAAAGTCCAGGGGGGGAAAAAAAGTCACTGTGGTTGGAAAAAATAAATAGCTTGTGTCTTAGCCCAGTCTGCCCACGTACTACATTTCTCCTATGAAAGAAGGAGCTTCTGAGGCCAGCAGGCCTTCTATATCCTTCCTGCTCAGGGTGTGTCTGTGGAGCTCCCAGCATCCATGTATCGCCTTGAACTTGTTAGAAATGCAAAATCTTAGTACTACCTTTGCCCTGACCGACCTACTGAATCTGAATCAGAATCTGTATTACAGCATCCCTGGGTGATTCGTATGTACCTCAAAGTTTCAGAAATGCTGTTCTAGATCTCTTCCCACGCTCAGGAGTGGGTAGAGGCTGTTATTTCTGGAATGAGCTGAATTTAGACTGCAGCTTGCCATAGATGAACCTTTGGAGTTCTTTCCAGCCAGCAGAGCCTCTGGTTCTTTGCTCTGAGCCCAAGTCATTTGAGCTCCGTTTCAGTGACAGACTCTTCTGCTAGGGCCTCTTCTGGGAAGTTCCAAGGAGAAGGACGCAGGCGGCAGGCACGTGCTGGCACCAGCCTCTACCACCCAAGCCAGCAGCTCTGGAATGCGGCATGTGGGGAATGTGGCATGCATCTGTGGGGACAGAAGGGGCGCCTTGGCTCGCTGTGAGGTGTGCAAGTGTAGCTCTCTGTTGATTCGCTGACTTTCTGCAGAGGATTTTCACTGCTAACCAACCCTTCTCCCAAGACATGGTGTAGGCCTCAAAGCCATGGATTTAAGCTTCACGTATCTGCACTGGAGGGAGACTGGGGTTGTTGAAAAGGCCTGATTCTGGCGGATCTCTGTCAGGTGGGAGCTGACTTTCCTTTTGTGGCCCTTGTTGGGGTGAATTCCACTCAGGCTGGGAGCAGGGGGTGAGGGCAGACAGGCATATCTGACAGAAGGATGGGTCACATTTGCTTCAAAGGGCCACAGAAGTGAAAACTTGCTGACACATGGAATGGACTTTTGTGCCTGTGCAAAGAAATGCATTACCTCAGACCTCAAGGCCACCCTAGGATGTGGGTGCTGCCGTTACTTCCATTTACAGAGGGGGAAACTGAGGCGCAGAGAGTGCTGGGCCCTAGGTTTGTGTAACTTAGGACACCTGGGCCTTTTCTACTTCCTGGGATGTAGTGCGTCATGCCTGGAAAGGGTCTGCAGAGCTCTCCAGAGGCCTCAAAAAGCCACTCAGGCCCCCATAGCACGAGAGCTCTGTGTGGGCCTGCCTGGGCCCTGGGGACAATTTCCACATTGCCCGTGTAATTTGAAATTGGTCTCAGAAAAATACCTTGTCATTCGGCCTTCTCCCCTCAACTTAGGCAAAGAATGAATTTCAGGTTATTGCTGAGTCCAGCCTTTCTTTCCGTCTTTCTCTAGAAGATGTTATGTACTCCACCCCGGAGCATCGGGCGGTTAAAAGAAATGGGGAGGGCAGTGGGGATGGGAGACTTGCATTTCATCCTAACTGTCCTATAGATCTGAGACCATGAGCATATAGGACTTGGATGATTTTTTTTTCTTAAGAACCTGACTAGAAATTAAATTGTATAGATGAACATTTTACTACATTTTTATTCTTAGGATCAATATCTTGTACATGGCATAATCACCATGCATGGCTTTAACCTGGACTATAAGGGCTCTGTCGCTTGCCGGCTGTGTCACCTTGGGCACATTCATTCACCTCTCTCTCCCTCGCTTTTCTCATCCGTAAAATGGGTGACAATAAAAAGACCCACCTTCTAGGGCTGTTGTGAGGATCGAGTGACTTAACATTTGGAGAGTGCTTACTGGTATGTGGTACGTGGTAAGTGCCACGGAAAAACTCCAGGAAGGTGAACATGAGAATTATTTCAGTTATAGTTAAATGAATCATTACCTTCAGAATGTGTTTTTGGATTACTGTGTGCCACATGTTCTGCACATGTCATTCATTCTTTAATGCTTCGTCACCACTGTGTTTGTAATTCCCCTTCCAGCCCCATCTTCTGCCAGTTGTGTGCGGGAGGGCAGGACCCTTACCCTTTTGGGTCTCAGTTACCTGCAGGGTAAAAGAGCTGCACCGTCTGCCCCTATGGCTGGGAGCATGGCGGAGGAATGTGGGGGGAGGTTCTGACCTTCCCTAGAGCCCTGTCAGGGTAAGGGGCCAGTTGCTGCTTGCAGATGGGGACTTGGGACAATTTTGAGGGCCCAGATGTTGTCCCTCCACCTGCCGTGGGCAGGGCTGCACTGTCCTGCACTTGAGCTCCTTCTAGGTTCTTAGA